ACATATAATACAATATAAAGTATAATATTATAAATATATAATAAATTATATGTATAATATGTATTATTTAATGTTATATATAATCTAAATTATAGTCACGTTATCTTCAATCAATCGGCAACGCGGAAAAGAGGCAACAATAGATGCGATACATTCGGCTCCAAAACGCGCACTTCTCGGTTTAAATGCCCTTGTTTATATAGGATAATTAGAAAACATCGAGGATTCTCGCGATAAGCGATGCACGCAATGTAAACAGAAGGAAATTTAATTTTATCTCTAACATAGAGAATACAAAAAATATAAAGAATCAATTTGCGCAAAAACAGGGGACGTTCGTGTTCAAAAAATTCTTTGTTATACGTTTAAGTACAGACGTTTCGATCCCGATATGGATCTTCTTCAGTGACTATTCAAATTACAAGAATGAGTTACGATAAAATGTTTATTCGCAAAGATAACAGAAATGCGCATTTCTGTTCAAGTTTATTCGTCAAGGTTTCACGAGCAGAAATATATAAGAAAATGAGAGTTTGCTACGAGAGTTTGCAGAATTACATAAGAAAATGGAAGTTTGCTAGGAGCAACGTTAAACTGGACTATTAAGGACCCATTTACATAAGACGCGGACCAATCACGTTGATCGATCGGTTGAGTTGACCAACGGTGATTGATTAATTAGAAAGAGATAAAGATCTGCAATCTGAAACTCGTGTCTACGTTTCACATAGATAGGCCTTTACCTGAGTAATCAAAAATTCTGTGGAACGACGAAAGTAAATTCGATTTATTTCAGAAAAGATTCCAGAAATAACATGCGACATTCTTCCGTTAGTCGGCGATTTAATGAATATCTCAAATCAATTGTAAAATTTAATGGTAGAAATATGGGATTGTTTCTTACGTAACGGCTTGTTGAATTGAAAACCAAAAAAAAAAGAACTATAGATAAATTTGTATATTGTGACGTTTTAAACAATTATACGTTGCCATTTGCAACAAAATGATTGTTATTTCAACATTATGACAATGATCCAAAACATTCTTTCGAATTCCTCGTGCAAAAAAAATGTAACCAAGCGTCCCACTCGGTTTCCGAATTTAAATTCAATCGATTATTTGTGGAATTACGTTAAATTTCAATTATTTTTTTTTGTCAGTAATACGAAATTAATGCAAAAAATCACAAAACTATGATTCGAATCGTCTGTGTTTCATTCAGTCGTGCGTTGCATCTCGCCTTGCAGATGTTACGCAGTTCATCGTCAACGATTTTTCAACATTTTATCAGACTATTACGGAAACAGTTACTTATGTGCGCTAGTTATCTAAGTTTTGCTTTTTATGTGTGATTTATCTTGGAAGATAAGAACTATTTATAAAATATATCGTTCTTGGAATATTATTAAACTCTTATCAGCGTGCGCATAATAACAAGCATTTTGTAGTGCGCACAGTCAGGGTAAATACAAATAGTTCTCCTTCGTCTACTCCACATACATTACGCATTTACATGAAACAGTCTCAATTATTATTTCGTTGTTTGTTAACGTAACGTCAAGTTCCTAGTACTTATCACAACGATGATTCGATCAATTTCCACACGAGTATCCCGTTCGTTACATCATCGTATCGGAGAACGTACTGTCAGCGTATCGCCGAAACTTTGTTCCGACGTATTCACTTCGAAATGTCGTTACTATTGCGTCGAGAGGGCAATTTATCTGAAAATTGATTCGCAAAACGTTGTGAGCAGCGGATTTCCGGACGTGAGCGGTTTCGAAAATGTTCTCTTGCACGACTTTATTTGGGAAAACATTGAGAAATGGTGGGACCACACCGCTTTGGTACATGTGAAACAAATGTGTAGTGTATTTTTGATAAAAAAAAAATAATAAGAAAGTGCATATATAAAAGTATAAATGGTAGAATTCGTGAAGTTTTTATAATGTATATAAAATTCTAGGAGTGTTCGATTACTGGTAGATCGTACACTTACGGTCAGTTGAGAAAAGCGTGTAGTAAACTCGCAACGAGTTTGAGAAAAAATAATCTTCTACCAGGAGATAAAATAGCTATTGTTTTACCAAATATCCCGGAATTCGTCATCGTTTTGCTAGCGGCACACGAAGCAGGTCTATGTGTAAGACACACAAAAACGTATATATTTCTATAAAATATATGTATATATTTATTTTTAAAATATATGTATATATTTGTATATATTTAGATAAAACATATATTGCATTTAAATATAACAATTAAGAAAATCCTTTTGAGGCTCTGAAGTTTTTCAAACTAAGTAACAAATATGGTATCAATAAGATTTTTTTCGCAATTTTTTAAAAATTAATTAGGGGGATATTCGGGCTCTCATATATAAGATGCAAAATTAGCATCCTGTATGATTTGTAAGAATTGAATTTCAATTCAAAAATTCACGTGTAAAAATTTGCACGTTGTGAACAATTATATATATATATATATATATTCATATATACGTATACGTATATATATATATCTACACGCACGTTTCCGTAAACAACATCCTGGAAAACAGGCTCTTATTGACCATATTTGTTACTTAATTTAAATATAATTTATATTTATTTATTTATATATATATTTAAGTATGATTTATAACGTATATAACGTGTGTACGTAGGACAACTCCGGTATTTTTTGGCCTCGCCGAGTTTTAAACCGCGTAGGTTATAAAAAATAGAAGTGAGAATAATTTGCGCGCTATTATATTGGTTACGTGTCTTTGTTACATTAGTATTTTGATGTGATTTCTCCTTTATTTCTATTGACAAAACTATTAACGAAACTATAGACAGTTTAGTTTCGATTCGTCAGCGTGATAAGTAGCGCAATCATTTTTACGAATACGCAAAACTAATTACAGTTTTGTCGAGCTATCCTAACATTTTCTTCACACTTGTTTTTTTCACTATCTTGTCTATTTATTTATTTACATATTACATAATGTTCTTATGTGTTTTACATAAGTTACATTATCGAGTAGGAAATTAACGTAACATTACAGTTACTTTGTGTCTACTGAGTCTTGTCTATTATTTATTTACATATTACATAATGTTCTAATGTGTTTTATATAAAGTAATTACTAAAAGATGTTATTGGGAAAAAGAAAGTGTATAGTTTAAGATTTTTTTACGAGCCATCCACGATCATATAATTTACTTCTATGAGTTACCCTGATAGGAAAACATTTATGAAATTATGTGACCAAATCTTGCATAAAAATTGGTGATTTGCAATTACGTAGATACATTTTGAGAAATATATGTAAAAATATTGATCTCTTATAAAATATTTGTAACTGTTTGCAAAATTAATTTCCAAATAATATTTTGACAAAACAAGATAACGACATGACGAATCATCTTAGCGGTATGTTTGCAAAATTAAATTTAAAAAGAAATTGTTCAATTGAGAAAAAAATTTCAGCTATGTGATGTTTAAAACATATATAGAAACATAATTGCATATGAGAGAAGAAATCAAATTAATTCATGTATATACTTATGGAGATGCGTAACGAGATTCTTTTCTATAATTTTTTGACAAATATTATTTACAAAATTTTATTTTGACAAAACTGTTGCGTTATGACGAATCATCTTGAATATGCAATTATTGTAAAATCGTCGTCGTTCATAATGCCATTTTTGTGCAATATTTTCACAATTTGCCTATTGGCGTTATATGATACAAATACACAATGATTTATTTTAAGTTTTTCTCAAGATATAAAAAAATTAAGACTTTTTGTAATTTTTTATAGTAAAAGACAAAATAAAGTTTTTGATTGATATAGTTGATTTGTCTTTGACATTGTAAATACTTTTTGATAAATAAACAATCTTCGATAAGTGCGGCTCATATAGCAAACTTATCTTGTGCGAATAACATAACTACTTATTCAAACTTCGAACCTTCGGACAACCTTCTTGTTTATCAGAGATCAAAGGTCTTCGAAGCTCGTTTGAATAACTAAATAGTTCGTATACAAGATAAGTTTGTTATATAAGCCGCATCTATCGAAGACTTAATTTATAACATAGCATTTACAATGTTAAAGACTAATGAATTATGTCAATCAAAAAAACTTTATATTGTCTTTTCTACTATAAAAAATTACAAAAAATCTTTATTTTTTTTTATCTTTTGTATTATACGGGGCACATATCCCACAAAAATTGCCGTGGTAAGCGCACAGGAAAATAACAAGAGTATATTATTGTATTTAAGATTATTATCAAGAAAATATTCTTCTTTTTTTTTTTTATACTTTGACGAAGTTAACTGTTGCTTAAAAGAAAAAACATAAACCGAGTAATTGATTTTCTCATTAATAGAATGATATGTTTTGTGTGTGTAGCCATGTGAACTTATCTTTTAGACAGTTCTGATCAGTCCGGCGGGTACGGTGTATGAAATAAGAAGACAGATCAAAGATACCGATGTACGGGCGATTTTTACAAATTCGGTCAAGTGTGCCGATGTTCAAGCAAGTATCGAAACAAATTCACATATAAAATTGCCGATCATTGTTGCGAATGACGGAACGGAAAGTGCTTCGATCCCGGGGACTATTGACTTGAACGATCTTATACGCGACGACATCGAAGATTTTAATAAAAAATGCGACGTTACCGCCGAAGATACGGTAGTCTTGGCTTTTTCTAGCGGCACCACTGGCTTGCCGAAAGCCGTCGAGACGAGACACAGGTATACAAAAAATTATTATTTTGTTTTAAACACATTAAAAATTATATGATGCAAATTCAGATCAGCGAGAATAAAATTGAAACAAGTTAATCTTAAATGATTCGAACACGATTGAAACGTATTTGCAGAAACATTGTCGTAAATATTCTTCAACGGACACATCCGATGTTGTTTCCCGCATTGGAAGCAACTAAATATCATCAGGAAATTGTGCCGCTAATATTACCAGCGTATCACTTTTTCGCACTAGCGCTTACGCTGTATTGTTATTTGCGGTACGCTATTTTTAATACGTGTGTTAAGATATTACTTTGTTCACGTAATTACAATGTCAAAACAAAGCTGTTTGTGTGTGACAGCTTTGATGATGTATTTTAATATAACTTTGAGAATATTTCTTACATACATCTATATATTAGGTCTACCGAAAAGTTCTGTCGGTTTTTTGGAATAAAACAAAATACAAATTTTTCTTAAATTTTTCAAAAATGGAATATATAAATTGCCCTCACGCTGGCAAGAAATCATTAATAATAATGGCAATTATATTATTTAATCAAGTTTATTGACGGTAAGAAAAATTTGTATTTTGTTTTATTCCAAAAACGGGCAGAACTTTCCGTTAGACCTGATATATAGGGTAAAAGACCCAATTACCGTCACCTAAATAATAAACTCTCGCGTTAGCGAATTGTTTTTACTACTTATTTATCAAAAACATATGTTTTTCTTTTTATCTGACATTATTCGATGTCTCTGATATAAGAAACAAAATAATACCGCCTCTCAAAATCTCTATTTTTATTTATAAATTTAATAATTAAAAAAAGAACGATACTAGAGCTATTTACCGTCACCCCCTAAAATGAAAGAAATGAGACAAGAATATTGAGTGCTGGATTTTTTGTTATATTAATTGCACTTAAAATTCTATGATCGAAACGTTCCAAATTACGTTCCAATTACTTGATTTAATCATTATTTACACTACCACCACCACCAGTGGACTACAGGCTTCAAGGTCTTCAATTTAATTTTAAGATTTATCTCTAAGCCGTTTCAACTTATTTGTTTATTAAAATTCTACGTTAGATGTTGTTTTCGTGCATAACTTTTTTTAGGATTTATTTAATATTTTGAATAAAATAGCTTAGGGTGACGGTAATTGGACAGGTGACAGTAATTATTATATATTTACGTATTTATATATATTAAGATTTATCATATTGTAACTGATATATTCTACAGAATAGGCGCTAAGATAGTGTGCTTGCCGTATTTCGTCAAGGATAACTTTATACGATTGCTTGAGAATCATAAATGCACGACGTTGCAAGCCGTGCCACCGATAATACAAATGATGGCGAACGACGAGCGAGTAACGTCGCGTCACGTCGAATCTATGAAAGACGTAGTATTGGGAGGCGCACCTTTCGGCAACGAATCCATCTCGATGTTTCTCAGTCGCGTTGGTGATGTACCTATCGTACAAGGGTAAGGGAATCGTAATCACTTTACTTAAGTTCATTCTGTTGTTGCGATAATATACTGATAACGAAAATTTGTGTATGCGCATACGAAGATACGGCATGACGGAACTGTCACCGATTGCATCAATAGGCACTCCACGTGTACCGAAAACGTCAGTCGGTTACTTGGTTGCAAATACGCAAATGAGAATTGCGAGTATCGACGATCCCGGCAGAAATTTGGGTCCGAACGAGATAGGGGAATTATGCATTAGGGGTCCGCAAGTAATGAAAGGATATTACAAAAATGCTCAGGCCACAGCGGATACTATGGACGGGGACTGGTTGAAAACCGGCGATCTGGGATATTACAGCGAAAACGGTACGTAAAATAATTTTCACTGGAAAAAGGACTGAAGATAAAAAATTAGTTATTGTTCAGAGAATTAAAACGAATTTTAAAAAAATGTCATACACATAATTACTGAAACGCAGGCCTGTTGTACTTTCACGCGCGACTGAAGGAATTGATAAAAGTGAAGGGACATCAGGTTGCGCCGATTGAATTGGAAGAAATAATTCGCGGTCACGACAAGGTGCAAGACGTAGCCGTTATCGGAGTGGCGCACGACAAATACGGCGAAATACCCAAAGCGTTTGTGGTTCCCAAGCCGGGGGCAAAGATCGACGAGAACGAATTGAAACACTTTGTTGCTAAACACGTTAGCAAATACAAACAACTGGGTTATGTGCAAATCGTAGAGAGTATTCCAAAAACTATGTCAGGAAAGATTCTTCGAAAGGAGCTTCGAAAGATGTAAAAATGATTTTACACACACATGTTCCACGCACTGTCAAGAAAAAACTTATGTACGCGCACACACACAACAAGTAAACGCTCGAACGATTATTTTTCACATTTTACTTAAGGCTAACAAAAATATTTATTAATAATAAAAACGAACTATCGATACAGGATATTTGATTATTTACAAATCGAATTGGCGATCGAAACTAGTTTTATTTATTTTTTGGATTTGTTGGAGTTGCTTCGCTCGGGGAAGATTCCTCTTTTTCCAAGAGCGCGCTTGCAACACCCGCTTTCTTCAGTTCCTCGATTAGCTCGCCGTTTTTATGCATCTCCAGCAATATGTCGCATCCGCCAACAAAGTCTCCGTTTATGAACACTTGGGGTATCGTCGGCCACTTTGAAAAGTCTTTTATACCTATGTATAATTAAAACAACTGATACACAACGACCCGAGAGACAGAAAATTTTATCTCCACCTCTGTTGTATAATACAAATTGTTCTTAATAAAATACTAAAACGTGTTTGTATCAACCTTGTCTAAGTTCCTCATCCTGAAGAACGTCGTGAGCATCATAAGTCACACCGTGCATACGTAGTATTTGAACCACAGCGTTGCTGAATCCACATCTCGGCTCTTCCGGTATGCCTTTCATAAAAACGACCACCTTATTTTTCTGCAAGAAACAATCTAAAAGATAGAGATGCGACGCCGCGTGGGAAACAAACTCCGAACCAAGTTTTTCCGACGTCTTGTTGTGTAATAGAAAAATTATATACACGCGAGAACGTCATACAACGCCGGTATTGCTCACCTTAACGAGCTGGCCGATTTCGTCGATTTTTGTACCGAAATTTCTGGAAACAAGATAACATCTGGTTCCGAAACGAAACATGTTTCAAAATTCTTCTGTTTTACTTCAAATTCGTCGGTTTTGATCAGCTCTTGCGAATGAAAAATTTTCAACCCGAAAAGGTTATGGCTCAACTCAGCTGAGTTGCGCCATCAGCTGTTTCGCTTTGTTAAAAATTCACTCGAGACAGAGAGAAGCCTGAGAGCGGCCAGGTCCATAAGAGAATGTGTAATCACTTTTCCGCCCCGTAAACTAGCGCACGTCCACGCGTGGTAGACATTGGAACTACGCAGCCACTCCACGAGCGACATGTCGGTACGCTATGTCCACAGCGTGCGGTTCTATTCCGTGCTACGTGCACGAGTTTAAATGGTCACTTTCTTTAAGTGTGTGAGTATATTCGAGAGCGTGAATTTGATTTATTTCAAGAATTAAAATAGCCGATTTGTGAACTCAGGAAGGAGAACAGGAATAAATGGAAAATATACAAATTTGCAACTTCCCACACAACATACACGTAATTGTCAACAAAGAAATATTTTTAAGCGAGCAGCATCAGAATTCGTAGAGTGTACTCAGGTACCATCTCCTTTATCATCATTTGCTGCTATTTGCTTTTATTTTTTTACAAACGCTACATATGTACATACGTATAGTTACATTACAAAATAAAAAGAAACAAAATAAGCACATTATTTATAAAATTGATTTGACGGTACACAAATATATGTGTGTATGAAAAGTTGCATTTTCCAAAAATATATCTTTTACCGGTGTATTACAATTTATCAGAGTGTGTTACAATTTTTGAGTTTTACAATTTTACAAATTTTTTACATATACATTGATACAATAAAATACATAC